GGTTTGTGGCCGAAATGCTGACCATTCTCGCCACGGAAAGCTGATGGCGTGGCTTCGCACTCAGAGCACCGTGTGTGGGTGTCACCCAAAAAAGAGGACCCGCGTCCTGGACTGTCCTCCCTGGGCTGTGCTATCGCCCTGCCCAGCGAGGGGCTCCCATGTGCAAGTACCCTGGGGCACTGTGTTCAGTAATAATGGACAGCATCTGTTATTTTAAGAATGCAAGGTTTTGACACAAATAACCTGCCCTCCTCGCAAAGGGAAAGACAGGAAAGCGAGCAGGAAGGAATATGTCAAAATCCTGTCCTTGGGAGAAAATGATCAGAATGGTTAGCCATCAGTGCGTTTCTCTCCTGAGGTGTATTCCCCATTGTTCCTTTTCATCGCTTTAAAAAGTGTGTATTCTCACTTCCTGCATCGAAGCCCCTGCCCCCTGACAGATGGTCACGTGCTTTTGCGTAGCTGCACGCGGAGCGCCCAGCCAGTGGGTCTGTGATGTTCGTTAAATAAACCTCGGGGGGTCCGTGGGCGATAGAGGCGGCGTGAGCAGCGGTGGAAACTGGGTCGCGGCACAGGAACCCTGAGCATCTGTAACAGTTCATTTCTCATTTGCCGATTCACTGTTTTAAGCTCTGTTTGTGCCGACGCTGGACAACGTGCCGTAAAAACTCTCCCGTGCTCAAAGGTGTGACAGTCAATATGCTGGCAAAGACAGTGGAGGGGGTTAGTTTTTCTCCTTGCCTTGCCTGCGATTAGAATGAAATGCGTCAACCATCGGTCAGTTTGGTGTTTGCTGTCAGTAGAGTCATACAACAATTTTTCCTCTCTCCTCTCTGTTCTTCCAGAATGTGCACACGGAATGAATCCATCTAGAGACTTTCACGGTATGTTAGATTCCCCATTATATTTTTATAAAATATGCATTCACATATATATGCATATGTATGACTTTTATGTATATATCCTGTAAGTGATGTATGGTATAAATTAACCAAATAATTAAGGCTCTTTTTTTTTTGCTGATTCAAAAATACTTAAAAGCTATTCTCTGCATTGTAAACGTCAAGCCCTATAAACGTCCCCATGAAACCTTAAATGACACCCTCCGTGCAGCAGCTCTACCCCAGTGCATTCCACCGGGATAGGCGGCTCTCCCTGACTCTGCAGAAGGAGTTTACTGCCTTTGTTATGAGAGCGGCAATGCCTCACTTTTATGGGGGCAAAGTGTTTACTCAGCACCCCCTAACTTTGCAGAAGATGGGGTTTGACACGTTCTCCATCTTGCCACCTGTGAGCTGCACAACTGAGGCGTGAAGTTAAAGTGAAATAGTCACACGTCAACCACAGTACCCCATGGACCCCACGGAGACCTGCACTGGGCGGACTAAGGATTAGATTTCAAAAGGGACGCTCCTCAAAGCCCCTCCGGGGGAGGAGCTGTTCCATTAAACCCCAGGCGGGACGGCTGGGACCTGGCTGGCGTAGGTGGCGGTCATCTGTGCACATGTCCCTCTCCTCCGAAGTTCCCTTCCCAGGACGCGGTACCAGCTGCAGGAATTGGGTCAGAACCGCTAGCAAAAAACACACTCTCTGGATTTTATTTTCCCTTAAACGGCACTGAAAATAGAAATAACTCAGGAATATCCCATTTTTACAAGTGTCATTTTAGGAAGATTTTGCTCACCGGGGGAATTTTGCACTTAAGGGAATGCTTAAGATTCCAATCCCAACTTTCTGCATATTTTAATTTTGACAGGGTTTTGAAAAGGAAAAAAAGTGTAAAATATTTAGATATTTTCTGAGACCACCTCTAGTGACAGATTTCCCTAAAGCTGAAGAAAAGACGGCCCTGTTTTCCAGGGAAAGGGTTATTTTTCCTTTCAGCTAACTTAAAACTCACCGGGAAAGCCTACATCCCAGGGCAATGATGAGCCTGGTTGAAATTTCCGCCAGGGAGCCAAGCAGGAAAAGCCTGTAGGCATCCTCGCTACAGAGGCTCAGTTCTACTTTGCTTTGTGGCAACCGGGTCAAGGCTACCCCAGGGGGCGCGGGGAGGGACCATGGCCATGGCCCTCTCCATTCTCCCAGAGGCGGAGGGGAAAGTCTCTCTGGCCGCTGACCTGAGCCGCCTGGTAGGAAAGAGTTCATTCCGCGCAGGAACTTCATGAGCTGCTTGAAAAGCCCTTCGCACTGGGGGTGCGGCCCCCTGCGCCGAGTCCCCTGCCCTGCTTCCCACTCACTAGGTGCTCGCTGCTGCGGAAGGCGCCGCGGGGTGGGTTTCTGGTTCGCAGGTGTGGGAACCCCCAGTGCCGGCCAGATTCGGATAAACCAGCAGGACTGTCCTGCTATCACCACCCTCCTGGGCGTGCGAACCGGGTGCGCTGGTTGCGATGCTCAGCGGGGCATCTTGAAAGGCTGCACGGGGAGCATCCA